CCTAAAAAACCCCTGACCCCCAAAAAACCCTTAAAAGCTCAACTCGTCGGAACACAGGTGTTCCGGTGTTCCGAGCAATTCGGTTTCCCTATGTTTCCCCTGTCTATCAGGAAATAATGTTTCCCCTAATATTAAAGCAAAGAGGTATGTGAAATGTCTGAAAATCACTCAGGTACATTATTACATGTGAATACAGTAGATCGTCACGCACAATATAGTTTTATAAGCAATACTATACCGTTTTCAGACATCCCAAGTCTCCCGGAAGTTCCGGGAGTCTCCCGCATATTGGTAGCGGCTCCCTGATGCCCGCAAATTGAATAAAATGTCCCGGAAACTAGAGCAAACACACAAGAGCATGCGCGCGAGACAGTAACGTGTCCATCGCGCACTTGAGAAAATCGCGCGCACGACGGAATGAGAGAGAGAGAGAGAGAGAGAGCGTGCGTATGTATGGATCCCTGCGTGTGTGCCTGTTCATGTAGCCCGTGCTAGACAGACAGCATCCTGATTGGTCTACTTAGCAAAATAAGCCAATCAGATTTCAGTAACTTCTCGAGGACCGAAGTTATCGGTTCAGTGGAGCCTTCGAAATTTAGTGTGCTGACTAGAAAAAATTAATTAACAAAAAATTATACATATGGCCAATGTAGAAATTCTCTTGTGTGAAATAAAGTCATTTCCCTTCTTGGGGGAGGGGGGATTGGGGACCTCCCTGAAATGAGTTTTTGCAGGTTGGATATAGAGAAATATCTCTATCCAGCAAATTAAATACTTTCATTTATCATCTGTAAAAACAAAAAAACATCGAAAAGGCATGTGATGTTTTAAAATATATGGCTTGTTTACCTCAAGAGCTTCGTAAAAAGACATGAAAACAACAGCGAAACCGTGTACAAATCAGCGCGCGACAGGGGAATTCGGTTTCCCTATGTTTCCCCTGTCTATCAGGAAATAATGTTTCCCCTAATAGAACACCTGCACCTAGTTGAGCTGGCTTGCTCCCTTAAGTGGCTGGCTTAGGCTAAACTATATATATTTACAAAGACTACAATACAACATCCCGAAATATATGTAGTCTAACAAAACGCAGATTAAAGAAGGTAGCCTACCTGGCGAAATTGCAAACAAATTAAAAGGTCCACGGCATATAATCGGCATATCCAACAAAAAGTAGTTTTTAAGAACGTAGCCTACATCGCGAAATTGAATTACTTTCTGGACCAACATACGCAACAGTCGTCAGACGGATAGGACGTTAGGCAGCCTTTAGATCCTACCCATCATGCACTGCAGTTTTTTGCAAATCCCTCAAACGGAAAACCATTAAATACAAAAGGAACAGTTTAGTTTGACCTCAGAACATTACTATGTATTATATTTTAAGTTTGTTGCATGGATTTTATTATTAAAAATTACACCATACACCCACCATAATAAGAATGTATAACAAAAATGAGAGATATATAAAATCGCAAGTCAAACTTGAAATATAAGTAATATATTCTAACCATGAAGATTTTGGGAGAAGTTACATCAGTGTAATTTTGTGTGTATTTAGTATATGGGAGCGGCCTCTACGATCCAGGGGAGGGCTCCGGGCCGGCCCAAAAATGTGCGTCGGCCCACCGGGCATTGCCCAGTACGCTAGATGGCCAGGCCAGCCCTGGGGGGGGCATAAGCACACTAGAGGACAAGATGCAGGCTATAAGAGAGTGCATGCTGCACTGGGCCTTAAAGGAGGCCCTTCTTCTCTACCCGACAGACCCACAAGTGAGCCCAAGGGAAGGAGGGACATGGCCTATTACTGGAGTGCTTACAAACCTGAGTGCCCCTACTGTGTCAAGAGATGTGAGATCCTGCCTGTGGTGATGACTGTGTGCCATTTCAGATACTCTTTACATGGCATGGAGTTCACATTTAAAATGGAGCATTCAGCTCTCCAGTGGCTTCTATCTTTTAGGGAATCCGAAGGCCTGATTGCACTGCAGGCTTACAATTTTAACATGGTCCACAGAGCTGGTATGCGGCATGCTATTGTGGACACACTGTCCCTCTCATCCATGTGCTCCTTTCATATAGGGACCGAATTGCCCACAGTAGTGGACCCCGGACCCCATACTCCCGAAGCACCCCCCACAGAGCACCTCGAGGAATCCAGTCATAAGCCATCTCCAAGTCCACAAAACACATGTAGACTGGATAGGCAAACTCACAGGCTCCCTCCAGTACCCTTGCTAGGGTATAAAGCTGGTCCAGTGTTCCACGGCCAGGACGGAAACCGCATTGTTCCTCCTGAATCCGAGATTCGACTATCGATCTCACCCTCCTCTCCAGCACCCTGGCATAGACTTTCCCAGGAACGCTGAGAAGTGTGATCCCCCTGTAGTTGGAACACACTCTCCTGTCCCCTTTCTTAACCCTCTGGAGTCTAGGGGTAGGGGACACACTTTCACTGACTGGGGCATGGTCACACATTTCAATCAATATCATAAACTTAATTCATGGCAAATAAATTATTTCTTATATATATGTTTTGGCATTACACTCATCTTAATTTTAATGTACTTTGTAACTATGTCAGATTTATGTTAAGTTTGTAATTTGACATCAAAGTATAGACATTGCAAAATGCAATTTGGAACACTTGCAGAAACATTATGAAAGTACATAGTAAGCAATGGTGCCAGTTTGTTTTTCCCAAATATCTTATCACCAAAGTCTTGTGCACATGAAGATTTCACTTTCCAAGGCCTCATCAAACTCCTCCCATGCCTGGGTTTTTGCTTCTGCAACCATCCGAGCTGTGTTCTGCTTGGCCTGCCGGTACCCGTAAGCTGCCTCCGGAGACCCCTGGGCTAATAATTCCCGGTAAGCCTCCTTCTTCAGCTTGACAGCCGCCCTCACCTCTGGTGTCCACCATCAGATACGGGGATTTCCGCCACGACTGGCATCGACCACCCTGCAGCCTCAGCTCTGTACGGCCACTTCCACAATGGAGGTCTGGAACAATGTCTATTAAGACTCAATGTCCCCATCCTCTTTTGAATTGCCTGAGTTAATTAGTGTATGCCAATTGGCTCCCTGCCTTTAGTACTGTAGTAGCACTTATAGGGGGTTAAGCTAGGAAGTACAATCAATCCTTTTTCTCCTTTTATTATAGCCATGGCATCTGCCCATTTCTTGTTCAAGCAAAAAAATGTTGTCTGGTGGTCCAGAGCCTATCCTGGAAGCTATGGGCATGAGGCAAGGAACAACCCAGGACACTCACACACCATTCATTCCAGGGCTGTGGAGTCGGTAGATAAATGCTCCGACTCCGACTCCTCAGTTTCTAAATCTTCCGACTCCGACTCCGACTCCCCGACTCCGACTCCTCTGTATGTATATAGCTTGCTGAAAATCTCGACCACCGCCCCCATCCAAAGTAATGTGATGCCTCTGTCTGCTGCAGTGGCTGTCTCCTCTGTCAGCCAGCCGGAAGTTTAGTGCATTGTGTCACTCACCGGCCAGCTGATCAGCAGAACGAGCCTCTGCTGGAGACAGGTTGGGAGATCTGTGTTCTCGGCTCCTTCGACCCCCTTCACTAGCGCATAGCGAAGGGGAGCCGACGGAGCTGAGAACACACCAGATGATTTTTCAGGCGTTTGACGCGTGATGACTCGTTGAACGGCCGAAAAATCGGCAGTGCATCTGTAAATGTATGGGGGGCTTTAGGCTAGGTTCACAGTTCCCTGTAACAGTGGAACACGACACAATGGAAAGCGGTGCCGCACCTTACCTGTGCATTACATCCCATATACAGTCAATGCAAAGCATTCTTCATGGTTACTTGACATGTTCGTTTTGTGGTAACATTATGCACTGCATGCATTGGGCTTTATTCTTACAGCAGAGTAGTAGTTCTTTATGACCAGAGCATGTGAGCGGAGCGGTGAGAATTTCCGCTCCTCGCTCACGAGGCTGTTGGCTCCGCCCGCTCCTCCGCTC